GTGCCATATTGCGGAGGCTAAACACTGGGCGCCTCCCCAGAAGGGCTTCACGGCTGCGCGCTCGCACACGCCGCGGCGCCCCAACCCGGCCTGCCCTGCCGCGAGCTCAGCTCGGTCGGTAGGTACATTGGGCGTTCGTTGAGGGAGTGTCGCCCACGCCCGCGGGGTTTGGAACGCGGAAGGTATAAGGATAGGGATAGAGGGGGTGGTGGAGGGGAGTGGGAGGGCGGAGGAGCCGGGGGAGGGGGGGCATAACGGTAACATGACATCTGTGGGCGGTTCACTTGTTGTGATGGGGCCTTAGAGTGGGGCCCGAGGTGGGGCCCCAAGGTGGGGGGCCTGCCCCCACTCTCCACTCCCCGCCTGTCACTCACTCACTCACTCACTCACTCACTCACTCACTCACTCACTCACTCACTCACTCACTCACTCACTCACTCACTCACTCACTCACTCAGTTCAATGAGCCCAGTAGAGATGTACAGTGCTCGGCCCTAGCGGCCAAATAATGTTGGCTATTCCTGCGGTTACTGTACTCGGCGCCAAGGCCCCACCGGACTGTACGATCGTTCATCTTGTGTAGGGTCAGGCGATGCGAAACGAGAGTCATTTCAGGAGGATCTCCTGCTACAGGGTAAAGCAAGGTTTGCCGGCGATTTTGACTATTTTCTGTAAAACAAAAACATGCGGAAGATGTCGAGGAACGTTCTCTGTGTTCAGGGAATGCGTTCGATGAAATAAGGCGTTCGGCATCCACATCTATTTTACCCACGTTTAACGATGTGTTCAGGAATCTAGCCAGGGTGAGGACTTTCTTACACCAGGCACTATTCTCTTCAGGTTGCCCTGTTGGAGCAAACGAGTGAGTCAACTAGCCCGCATGCAGACGTGCAGACGGGTTGCCTATTCGCACGGTACCATGTCATGGAGCTCCGCCAAGCGCATGTCACGTTAGTATTATTATTTGGACGTTTCCGAGTTTTCTCATTTCCTTCGAAAAAGCACCAAACATGAGATTGTTTTTTTTTTTACTGTCACGGAAACAGCGCCTCCAGTTCAAATAAAGCGAAGAATGGCAAAGATAGAAGTCTTGGCACCTTTCAAACGGCCCAAGAATAAGTTCTCACATTACCAGCTAAAATTGCAGTAAGATCGGTGTTAAAACCACAGAAACTCTTCGTAGTCCGCCAACCCTTGTTTTACCAGATGTTACATTCGTAAACTTTTCTGGAATAAAAAAATGCAATAATAATTATAATATCACAACAATGTCTCTTCTCGTTTTATTTTTCTTAGCTAACGCCGCGTCGTCCTATTACACGGCCAGGGGCCGCGGCCCGCGGCTCGGCCACGGCAGAGGTTGCGTGCAGTGTCACGAGGCAAGAAAAATGTCCAGGAAATCACCGTCATTTCTCTGGCAATTAGAGCCCGCAGGCATCGCTCTCCTTAATTTTTTTTTCGCCATTTTCCTTTTTTTTTTCTTTTTGCACAACTCCTTAAGAGATTTCAAACCCCGATAGGCCGCTCCCCTACTACGCGTCTAAGATGGGCAGCGGGGCGTGGCCATGCGGCGGCGCGAGGGCGTCACGGGCGGGAGCGGCAGCGCCAAGTTCATACGGGCAGGGGTTTTTCGCCAAAGCCGCGAAAACATTGTAACACGGATAAAATGAAGAGATATGGTATGCAAAAGAATGGCAAAACCGGAAAGCACGCGCTAAATGCGTTACCTCATCTTGACTTAACTATTCCGTGTTTGAGTGCTTGCTGTGCTATTTCCGTGGCGAAACTTGTACAGAACACGGGAAGTTGTCGCGCGGACTTTAAGATTCCCATGAATCATTGCATGTGGGGGAATGATGATATTTCATCGCGATGTAAGCGATGCGATGATTCCGGATTAGCTGCGAAAAGAAGGGCGATGCTCACAGCACAAAATATTGTGAAAACTCAAAGTACTGCGCAAATGAGAGATGAGCACCACAAAAATAGATGCGATGAGTTTCATATTGCGCACCTTCCACACAATCGTGGAATAGGTACTTTTTGTATCCTAGCAGGACTATAAGAAACTATAGAAAATAAATCTGTCGCATCAGCACACTTCTGGAAGCGCTCCCCGCGGCCCGGCCCCACCTGTGCGCCACGTCGCTCTCTGCTTTGGGAGTCACTTTGTAGCTGTCCTCGTCGCTTTGTCAACAATAATGATATGCTTTGAGCCCCAGCACGCCAGGGCGGCCCCGAGTCCTCAACGGCACAACGGTTTCTTCGCCTCCCACCTCCCCTCCCTCCCATACATCCTCTTACCGTACAACGAACCCTCTCAACTCCCCGAACGCTACAACACAGGTACGCGGCGGCAGGCGGCGCTGCTCTAGCAGACTAACGTAACAGGTGGGCCAAATCTGTTGTTGTTGTTGTTCCACGCCGCGAGTGTGCGTCGTGGCCACGCCTCCCTAACGGCATCGGCCACTGTGCGACACTATAAGGAATGCTGATTTGTAGCGTCCGATTGGGCAGGCAGCCCATCTGTAGCCGCAGTGCAGTGTCCTATCGAGCCCTGCTGTGCTCTGCTGATGTGGTGGCCTCGAATCGGGTCGGGCAGAGAAGAGGTCAGACAGAGAAGGGTTGTGGATACAAAAGTGCAACTGACAGCGGGGCGGGTTATGTGGGGAGCTGTTGGGGTCGTGCGACGGGGATTGAACGGGGTCGAGTTGAGGCGAAAGGTAGAAGAGGAGGAAGAGAAGGAAGAAGAGGAAGGGGAGGAAGAGGAGGAAGAGGGGGAAGAGGAGGAAGTGGAGGAGAAAGGAGCAAGTAGAGGAGGACGAAGTGGAGGAGGAGTAGGAAAGTGGATGAGGAGGAAGAGGAGGGATGGAGAGAGAGAGAGAGAGAGAGAGAGAGAGAGAGAGTTTTTGAGTTTTTAACAAGGATTTATTGGGGGGGGTTTAGTTGTACAAAATGGATAAAATGGGCAGTGTCTAGTTTTGTTACAATTAGCTGGCGATGCAGCGGGCATGCGGTGCTGCATGTTTGTGTCTAAAAGTTTTAGTACGAATTTTACAAGTTTGTGGATAAGTGGAGGGAAAGGTTTGAGATTTATTGTTTTTACACTAGGATGTGGGAAGTTACCCTTCAGAAAAATTTGGCATTACAGAGATTGTTTTTGAACTTAATTCTATCCTGTCTAACAAAAAATGATTGCTAGCCAGAGGTTTGGCTTTGTTAAGTATACTGAGAAGTTCCAATTTGTCTAAATCACGTTCTAGCACTTTTTTGGTAAAGGATTCAAGGTCTCGAGAACACAGAAGGTTTTCGAACTGTTTTTTGGATAATTTGTTTTCATTGAAAGGAATTGCAAGTAACACCTTGTCTATATCAAGGTAAAAATCATCAACTTGTTTTTTGTTGTCGCTAGACTTTAAAGGAGAGTCCAAATCAGGAGTCGATTTTTTCACTTTTGACACTTTTGATGAAATAGGGTTGGGCGATTGTGGGGAATGAAGTCTCTTCTTGGAGTGGTCAGCTGGTCGTGGCTCAGGGGGTAGACTGATGGGGAGGGGGGGAGGAGGGGGCTTGAAAACAAATGGACTGGTGTGTGGACAGCTGACGTCGCTGACGACGACGGCTGGTGGCGCTGCTGGGCTGGCGATGTTTGAGGTTAGGTGATCTGGTGAATCTTCTGGCCGGGGGTTTTCTTCTGAGTTGGGTTGTGGGCTGGACTCGATGACATCAGTCAGCGGGCTGGTTGAGGAATGAGAGCTTGCGTGGGCGGTGGCGGCGGTGGTGGAGGTGGTGTGGACAACGGTCGTGCTGGCGGCGGCGGCGTCGGAGACAGCGGCTGCAGGTGGCGGGCTTGTAGTGTTTGAGGTTAGGGTTCCTTCTAGGCTGGGGTTGTCAGGAGAGGCTGTTGATTTCGACTGTCGTCTTACTTTTGGGATGGAGAGGCGGACTGATGGCGATGGTGTGTAGGCTAGAGCTGGGTAGTCTTTGTTTTGTTTTTCTTTCTTCTCACATTGTCCGATGGTGTGAGTTGGGCTTTGGCAGAACTTACATTGAATGATTTCAATGTATATTGTATGTTTTGCTCCCTCGGCGTTTGTGAGTTGTAACACTTCTGGGCACGGAGGGGCGTCGGTGGGAATGTTCATGTAGAGGGACCTCTTCCAAGTCATCACATGCTTAAGGTCGTCATAGTTGGTTGTGACACTTTGCCTTGTCGGCGTGGAAACTATTTTGCCGTAGGGTTCAAGAAGTTTTCGTAGGGCGTCGTCTGGCATCTCTGGTGGGCAGTTGGAGATTAAAAGTCTTGTGGCTTCGGAGACGTATCTTCGGCAAGGCAGATTTAGATTGCCTACATCGACACTTCCCCTGTTGCAGAGAGTGTTGACACATGATTCGTCGGTGAGGTAGAGGCAGAGTCGTCCTCCGCTGAGTCGGTTGCAGTAGTGTATGTTTTTGCCTTGAATGATGTCAGCTACGGCTCTCAAACACTGATCCTGAGACACCTGCTGGACATTTTCAAGAACCACGGCGTTTCTTCTTGAGGGTCGGTAGGTTGAGGTGGACTCACTGTTGTTGTTGACATTTTGGGTTGTTCTGCTGCAGGCCGCCATGTTGCTCCCGCTGTTGTTGTTGTTGTAGACGCTAGCAGCGCCTTGTGAAGAGAGCGATGACGATCGGGAAAAGGCTTGGTTTGGAGAATCAAG